GCGGAGGGGAGTGGCGGGGCGGGAACTCGCCTATTACCGTAGTAACGCGAGCGTTACGTTACCGCCACGTACTGCTGGGGAGGTAGGGGTCAACATGTCACAATATATTCCTTTTATAAAAAATTCTACCCTAATTTCTAATACTATGTCCTATTTGGTTTGTGTTACTTTCAGCATACATCCTTACATGAATATATAACAATGATGACAAGTATGCTTTGACACTGATACTCATGAGTTTACATTTGACCTTCACAATTCATAATATTTATACCATCATCATATGTGGTTTCCCTTATATGTATATTGACAGAAGCCAATATTGTAGAAATAAATAAAAATATATATTAATTTGTAAAAATAATTTTAATAAGAATTGTACATCCTTTACCCAAAAGTGTCGGTGAGGAAGCAGTTTCAGTACAGTATATATACAGATGGTACAATATGTCAAAATGATGTGAAAGAACCACTTGTGTATGTCTTCTGCTCATATATATTTACTCAGTCAGTTGCAGGAGTCTTTCTCTGTGTACATTTGGCTGGAAGACTCTCTTTTTTAATATTATTCCTGGAAAGATGAACTCAGATGTTATTTAGGGTTGAAGCAGAGATTGCTTAGGGTTTCAAAGATTGGCAAGGACAAGAACACATTGGTCTGTGTTACATGGTGATACATGTAAATAGTAATTTATTTCACAGTTTAAGTAATTTATACCAATAAAATAATGAAAATCAACGTGATTCACTACATGAATTATATTCACTTAATAGATGGCTGAGGACATTGGTTTATGAGATTATATCAATATATAGTTACATACAATTTAAATAAATCTTATTATGAATATAACAAAATTAAATGTGATCCAATAAATAAAATCATTGAAGTGAAGAACTTAACCTGTTTCAGAGAAATAACAGATTGTAGATTTAATTGTCCCACTCCAAGATATTCCTCAGCAATAAATGAATATCAAGGAAAATAAAATACATAAAATCATAATAAATTCATTCAGAAAATAGGTGCAGTTACAAAATGGGGCACACTTTTCTATTCTTGTTTTATACTTGGTGATATTACCTGCTATGCATAAATACACTAAAAATAATAATCTAGTGACAATTGTTCGGTGAATCCCCTCTGATTAATAGCAAGGGTCACTATCAATGACTTGTGCATTGTATAATTTCATTCCCATTTATTACAGGATGGACTGCGAAATAACGATGCTCATATCTGTAGCAGAAGTACTCACCTGGACATATCTAAAAACCTAGCTGGATCCAAACCAGTCTGAGCTCATTGCACCAAAGAATGCTGCTGCTCCTGACCTTACCAATTCACCAGTAGTCTGGTCAGTTTTTGGTTTTGGACTTGATTTCTTGCGCTAGAAATGTAAATGAAATATACTAATATCCAGAACATAAACTCCAAACAAAAGAATTAGTTCAACATGATGGATGTAAAAAATATGGTATTTTATAATTTAGTAATCTGTTTTTAATCCACTACAGTAGTTTTCAAACTGTGGTACACATAACTCTTAAGAACAAAAATTTTTACTCAAGATTTATTTAACAAAGTTTTCAGTCAAATTATAGGGCATCACCTTACAGAATTAATGGACTAGAAAAGATGTCAAGGGAAGCGACCATGGCCTAATTTGATATACTACCCTGTCATTTGCCTGGAAGGACTGAAGAAAACCACTGAAGCATCATTCAGGATAGCTGTCTCTTGGCTCAAATCTTAACCTGAAATTCCCATATATAAAGGAATGCAACCACTGGACGCAACAATCAGCATGTAACCCTGAGTTCAGATGAATATGCAATTAAAGTGAATGAAAATATTTGTCCTTTATTACTTTGTATTCAAAGTTTGTATCACAACACAATCTCATCTTCATAACAGACACTCTACTCTCCATTTCTTTAATAAGAAGGAAAATTACAATTTACTTGGAGGAAAATATCTGAAACTAACTTCCTTACATTGCAAAAATGATATTAACATAACATTAAAGCATATCAGATGATGAGCCATGGACACTGCCAGGATTTTTTCTGGGTGGGGGAGCCACTATATTTGCTTACAATCTTATATGTAAGATGTTTAAAGTTATTTTTAATAATATTTTAAAGAAATACATTTACTTTTTATTATTAATATTTGGTGTCTTTCCTTCTTCAATTTTGATTTTTTACGCAGGGGTGGGGCAAACAGCTTAGTTCGCTCCTCTCTGCTAGTGCTCATGTGATGAGCCATGCTTTTAAAAAATTAATGTTTTCATATACACAGTGAAGAGATGGTACTAGGATACAGTAATTATAAAAATATTATGTTGGACACTGTCCACTCTCCTCGGTCTCTTCAACATATAGAGTTATTTCAGAAACAGAATTCTCCAGTCATTAGGAATAAAGGTGAAGAAATCCTTGAAGGTAGTAAACCAATCTTCAATTCCTGTAGTCAAAGGAAACAAAGAATAACTAACTCCAGGTGCATTCTGACTGTGATTAAAAACAGACCTCTTGAACAAAACAAACACATAAATTACTACAAATTCACACAATGTTATATTTTGTGAGTACTGCAAGAACATGCCATTGTCATTCTCTCTAAATTCATTCACCAATGGCCCTACAGCCCTTTGCTGGGTCCCGGCCTCTTCTTCAGTTTCGTAATCTTTTTTACACAGCCGGTAGGACTCCATGGATGAGTGATCAGCCTCTCACAAGGCTACACACAGGATGACACAAAACATACATACAAACTTCCATAGCTTTGAGTGAGCATTCTCTCTAAATATTAGTACTTAATTACCATTAAACTTCCTATTAACTATATTACGTATTTCTCATTAAAAATGTTATTTGTGCAGTAATTTCTTTGTAACATAATTAACAGTGTACAAGCTGTTTCTCATTTTTTGCTTACTTTCCTTCTTTAAAAAAATAACAGTAGGTTTATGATATCAACTTGCTGTCTGTGTGTCTGTATGTGTATCCCCCCTGTCCACTTTTGAATCAACTTTCTGTCTGTGTGTCTGTATGTGTATCCCCCCTGTCCACTTTTGAATCAACTTTCTGTCTGTGTGTCTGTATGTGTATCCCCCCTGTCCACTTTTGAATGCCTCAACCAATCTATGTGTATCATGGCACCTGGGCCCATCTCAATGGCATACTTCATAAATCTCTTCCATCAGTCTGTGTCTGTATGTGTATCCCCCTCTATCGTTGCTAGGCAACAGCTCAGTAAACACGTTCCCATGGCAATAAATACATGGAACAATAGAACTGTTGGACACATCATTTTCTTTATCATCCATGTCAAATGAAAGGAGGGTCTGTGGGTCTGTTTGTAAACATGTTTCCACGACAGTGAAGAATTGTTGGAGGCATTCTTTTCTATGCAATCTGTGTTCTATCAAAGGAAAGTAGGAAATTAGTTTTTCCAGAACTTCTTGTATAAACATTATGTGNTTTCAGACTTGGAATGAAAGATTATTAGTGTAGCATACATTGTGCTGATGTTGAATATGACATTACAGTACGCAATTAACGACTGTGCCGAAATATGAAGGTACGTAAACAATTAGACAGTTCTATTGTAAGCATTTGTGTTTATCATCTGACTGCATTAACCTGCTGCTGGCATCATGGCATCCATTAGATATAACAACTGATATCTTTTAAGAGAAGCTACTTTAAAATTTCTTGAAGAAATAACTTCTGACATCAGTTTTTGCGACTCTCTAAATATAAAATCCTCACACAGAAAATTAAAACATTCACTGAAAACAACCAAGCACTGGGTAAGGCATCAGCATAGTGAATAACCTTCTGAGTGAAAGTCTAACAGACTGTATGAGATGTTACCTGAGGCTTGTCTGTGTGGATTTGAGGGACGCTACTCATAACACGAGCACCAGGTGGACCAGTGACGGGCAGGAGAGAGAACCAGGGGGCATTAACGCAGAGTGAGAGCACACTTGGATCCTCAACTGTGGTGCTGGTGGGTGCCCGTAGCCCAGACACAACTGCTACCTTCTCTGGCCATGCAACCAATACACCTAGCAAACTCTGTTCAAAATAACATACTGTTATTTTTATCATGAGGAAATAAAACATATAATACAGGACAGTCTGATTTAACGCTGTCTAATGATTTACCTCTAAAGAGTCACATCAATTGTCTCATTAAGCACACATAAATTGCAGACATTTATAAGTCTTTGTAATATTAGATCAAACTTCAGAAATTATTGTCATGACATCAAGAAGGAAACAATGTGTTTCATTAACCATACAAGTGACACATATTAAAAATTTTTACTGTTACAAAAATTACTATATATGACACCTGTTGGCAAAATATGAGGAAGGAATTAATCCCTAAATTACCTCCTTTGAAATGTTTATATATATATATAAAATTTACCCACAATGGAAGTACAAATCTGACAACCTAAAATGGGGTTTCATCCTGTAAGAAATAGTGTTGGCACTTCTGAGTCACAGGTACAAATACCTAAGTAAGTCAATAAGTAAGTTACAAATGGATATAGAACTTAAACAAATATGAGTACTGATTTGAAAAATGCTTTTATTTCTTGACATAATCCCCCTGTACATTGATGCATTTGTCCCATTGTTTCACAAGCCCCTGAAAACCAGCAACATGAAATTCTTTGGGCTGCTGTCGGAACCAGACGGTGACTTCCCTTTATACAGCTTCATCATTGGGAAAATGTTCAGCCGAAAGATGTTTAAGAGGACTGAATAAATGGAAGTCGCTTGGAGCAAGACTCATCACCTGTTACAATTTGGGCTAGCATATCGTATCCTTCATCGTGGTAGCGATTGAGATGCTGTAATGACAGACCCATTCTTTGCATTTTGTGTTGTGGGGTCAGCATGCACGGCACCCATCGTGCACAGACTTTGTGAAAACCTAATCTGTCATGCATTATGAGGTAGGCCATGCCATGTGAACAACCAATAGCAGTGGCTATCGTGTCTATAGTTACCCTTCTGTATGGAAGTCACCGCCTGGTTCCAACAGCAGCCCAAAGAATTTTAAGATGCCGGTTTTCAGGGGCTTGTGAAATGATGGGACAAGTGCCTCAATGTACAGGAAGATTGTGTTGAGAAATAAAAGCATTTTTCAAATTAGTACTCTTATTTCTTTAAGTTCTGTATGCATTTGTAACTTACTTATTGACTTAACCTCGTAACAAATGTACTTGCTTCTTAAGGCCTACTATCACAATTCTCTACTGTATGATAATGGATCATTTCTGTGCCTGTCATTGTGTTTATTAATTATACTGATTCGTTTCCTCTTTCATTTATAAAAATTTGTGAAATGCATAAGATATACAGGGCTGAGTGGAATGACAATTGAGAATTAATTACATAATTACAGTGAAACTCACATTTAATGTTTCTTCATTTATGGTTTCTCACGCATTTAGCGTGTAATTTTAATGATCCGAAGTCCATAATCTCGGTGTTATAGCAAGTGTCACATAACTTCAAACAGGGCCAAGAGCGCCAAGAGTAACCTTGAATGCGCAGAAGAAAAATTTCAGACAAGGGGGTGGGTTGCAGGAATGCGGGGAATGCGTGTCCTTGTTCGAAGTTACGTGACACTGTCTCTAAATTCCTTCTTCAAGTTTGTGATTGAATCCCCTGCTCCCCAAAGAAACCTTAAATGGAGTTTCATTATATGCTGCTTATGAATCGAAATACTTGTAAAGTTAATGCAATTATTTTTTTAGATGACAGAACGTTATTATATGGTGCGATCAATCATCTTAAGGCTTTGTGTTAGTCACTGCACTGCTCGGACAGAAGGTTCGATGCCCTTCCTATCTAATGAGACTGCAGAGATTCGGTCTGCTAGTAACAAACCTATACTTTATGCCTAAATCTAGGATAAACAAAACATCAAAATTACAGCCTACACTAGTTCTCTCTATTGACGGAATGCTAAAGCCTAACACCAATTTCGCCATTCCTGGGGGAGGGGGTAGAACTAATTCAAAATTCCTAGTCCCCAATGAAGACAAACTGGATGACATCAGTGCTTGGCTTAAATGCTCTATTTCAAAATCCCTCAGATCCCTAGCACAGTAGACTGGGTTTTCAAGTTTACTCAGTCTCCAAAGCGGAACTGCAGTGCGAAAATGTAAACATTTTATGGACACCAGAAATACATGCATAACAAAATACAGCATTTCCAGCTGCTTCAGTAAAGTTATATAAGAAAGATGTTGTGCTATACATTTATCAATTCTGCTAGCAATCCAGATCTCTTCAAAGCGACTATACAGGAAGGAATTTTGTCCATAAAGACTGCAGTCAAAAACTTGGAGATATCAATTAATGTTCATGTTCAGACAACTGATAGTTCTCTTCGTGAAATTTCAAACATCAACAGAAAGACTAACACCACTAGCAGCACCACCAGATGGAAAATGTAAACTTACCTGAGTTCTTTGAACACTTCTCTTAATATTGTTCTGAATGTACGGAGAAAAAACGTCCAAGTCAAATGGATCAATTTTGTCTTCAAACTTGTCACTTATCAGCTGAGACTTTGCCATCAGCGCCTGTGTTAAAAATGTCAGCAAACAACATACATACACCCACGTGTGAGTGGTAAGCACATAGAATTAAACAGAAGTCATGTAGTACAATTTTAACATAGCTTTATTTTGGGCTTTAGCCATTCTCTGTTCATCAGTGTTTTGGAAGAACATATGACGTCCATCTTCAGTCATGGAGCAACTCCAGCAAGTAACCAGGAAGAAGCAACAAGCATGGCATTACATCAAGGAAGATAGTAACCTTTGTAGCCACCACTGTATCCAACATATTATTTTAAGCTTTGTAACATTAAATGCTACTGGTAAGAAAGAAACAATGTTCATAACAATTAAAATGACAATACAAGCAGCAACTTCAAGTAATAATTACATAAAATTACAACATTTCTCCCAGACACTTCTGGCAGCAGAATAAAATACATTCAAACAGAGAAATTAATTTGTTAAAAGTAAAATAATATTAAGTGCAGTAAAATAAAAATTTCAGTAGTTTAAATATTTATTCTTTCATTCAAAGTATTTTCATGTTTTGTCAAAGTTTAACAATAAAATCCTGGCCACTTGTGAACCACTTCTAAAACTACACACATGACTTCCATGATTCAACCTTCTGTACAGTCTGCTGCATCAAAATTTCACTGCTTTCTAGGGAATATTTCACAGCTAATGCTTTTATTTCACGTACTTCAAACCATTAATTGATTGAAATGATAGACATTCACAGTGTTAGTCTATGTAAGTATATTTGTTTTGTGATAAGCCATATGAAGTCCACATACTGAGCGCTGGGCACACAGCACATATTTCAAATGTCAATAATTATAACTGATGCGACACTTATGACCCTTAATATGGTAAAGCTATCCCTGTAACCTGCCGTGAAGGCCAATACGGTTGTGAGGCATTGAGGCTCCCACATTTTCTCTACACAATCAACTCAAATATGATGGTAAGATTGTCAGCCTTATGCGCCAGCCACCCTATAGCTGCAGGAAGATTCCTGGTACTCATTTCTGTTAAAGGCTGAGTCGACCCCAGGCTCATAGTGTGGCTAGAAGGATTAGGTCAATTGAAAAATCCACCTCATTGGGAATCGAACCTGCAACCTTCTGACTTGTAGCTTCCAGCTTGCCTCAACCAACTACGCTACCGCATGCCCCCTGTGACCCTTAATACAAAATTAAAAAATAATTCCTTGATGCAAAATTTAAAAAGAATTCACCTTGTTGTCTCGTGGAACAAGCAGCATTGTGAGATATCTGACATCCAGCAGGAGTTGCAGGGCCTGTGCCTGAGAGATGAGTGCAGTGTTGCCAACTTCATGATACTGTCCCAGTATGTTGTCAACTAGGCTTTCTACCAAATCCTGATGGATCTTTCTATAATAAATATTAACATGATATGTAAGATCTGAAGCTTTCATGAGGCATAAATGTAATGAAATCTTCTCAGTTAATGCCAGGTTAAGCTAAATGGTGATAGGTTAAGTGAGATCGATGTCCGCATAATTTGACTTGGCCTTCTTGCTGCATAGCACACCGACAGTCTTAGGGATTGATCTAACAGATTGGTGTACATGTCAGAGATGTATGGTCATTCACCACATAACCCTGAGGATGGAGATCTCTGAAACATTAGTTTTTAACTCAGCATACACATGGCTGTTTGCCCATAAAAATTTTAGTACATTAACATCATTAACCCCCCCACCTCCCCAAAGGAATCTTCCTGGTACTCGTTTCTGTTTGACGCTGACTTCACCCCAGAGCCATAGTGCAGCTGGAAGGATTAGGTAAATTGAAAAAATTCAATGACCTCATCAGGAACTCGAATCCATGACTATCTGGCTTGTAGCATAGTGCCTCAACCAACTAAGCTACCAGATGCCCCTTATCTTCACCTACAATAAGCATATAATTGTGTTTATTGTGTGTGAGTTGTACTATCTGTAATATAGTATTTGTTTTCCTGCATCATTCTGTATCCATCACCTTACATGACAAATATATAAAACTGTATAAAATTTAGCCCCATCCCCATAAAATGATTTCACCATATTTTGAAACTATGAAGTATAATCACTTTTGTTTACCACTTCATTTCTTAAACAAACCTTGGTAATGTGTGTGGTGCCACAGCATTGATCATCTGGGCCATGGAATTCAGCAGTGACTGGAGTGGGAGACTTGGTTGTGCTGGAACTCTGATGTCCGAGCGAATACTCCGACCCTCCTCTGCTTCTTCCTCAATACTAACAACATCCCACTGCTATAACAGTATTATGTATTAAATTTAAATTAATCACGGTCACATAATTAAAATATTTCTTCTTCTTGATGGATTAGGTCCTCTAACCTGTTCCCACTCACAACTACTGTAATCTCAAATGGACCTTACAGGCAGCGGGTAGAATTCCTTGGATGAGGTACAAGACCATCACAAGGACATTATCTACTGAGGACAATACAGACACAGAAAAAAGCATACATATATCCATGTCTCAAGTGGGATTTGAACCCACTGTGATTTATTATGTATAAAGAACATCCAAATACAACTTATTAACTCTTATGTCCTTAGTGCTGTTATGCATCACTGTAGTTGTCCCAGAATTACAACTATGCCTTGGAGGCGGTAAACTATGTACCAAAGAGGTACACTCTGTTACATTACCCACTCCACTATCATATTGCAGTTCTTGCTTCTCTTTATGAAACAAAAACTAAGAACACATGTGACAGTAAGTTGCAACTGGACTGTTCTGCAGTAACCCAACAAAAAAAATGTAGCATTTGAGGTTCTCACGGCAGTGGTTATAAAGAGTCATGTATTCCATTGAAAGTCAACTGACATTTTGGAGGAACATATGGCCTCCATTAGGTCAAAGGATAAGCCAAGTAAGAAACCAGTGTGAAAGCAGGTGGCTTACCAAATACAACATGTTCCTCTGAAATGTCAGTTGACCTTCAATTCAATACATGGCATTACATCCAAGAAGCTAGTACACTCTTCAAAGAAAAAATAAAGAATATCTTTCACAGGTATTCCTTAAACTGTAGTCAAATGATAAAACCTGTTTATTTATTCTGAGAAACTGACACATTTCACATTAAACATTTCATCAGTTGTTTTTTACTTTGCATAAGTGGCTAAACCTCTTTAAACATTTACAGACTTCCCAGTTTCAGGCCTTGGAATAATCAAAATGGGCCCACTGTTTTCATGACACAGGTTTCCAGTGTTCCCAACCTGTCCTAAAATTTTCCCTGTCAGCAAATATCCTTCCTGTGGCTCTGTCCTGCCTATTTTGTCTGCACGTTCAACCACTCTTAAATAGTGATTTCACAGTATACTCTCTCATTCAATGTCTTACCGGAATAGAGTGAAGGAGACTGCAGAGATGTTGAGGATGACTGAGTTTTGACTTCGTTAATTCCAGCAGCTTACTGGAAATTAAATACTGCCACTGTTGCCATGTTGCCACACTCTCTTGCCTGAGTAGTAAACATGCATCTTGCCATGGAGACGATGCAGGTGGAGTCCCTACAACAATCTTCAAACAAACAATTACTTTCAATGCAAAAGAAGTTATGAAGCATTTATGTGGGGCTCAGCAATGTCATTAAATTTTGATGTGTCATCAATCACATTAAAGGTAATAAGGATGGAAGAGAAAATACCATATGAAGGAATTGAATTGAATTGAATTTATTTACATTCTATAAATCCTAAGTAGGTTAGTACCTTTGGATACAGAACAAGTCAAAAGGTTACATACATAAGTACAGGCAATTTTAGCTTAAAAATTAATATAACTTAATTTTACATCATTCTCTATTTACATTGAAGTATTCATCTAAAGAGTAGAAGGAATGAGCATGTAGATAATTCTTTAACTCTGATTTAAACTTTTTAGTATCATTGCCCAAGTTTTTAATACTTTGTGGCAGATTGTTGAACACTTTTATGCCAGTAAAGTAGACTCCTTTTTGATATACTGATAAAGTTGAT